AGTTTGCATTTATTTTTACTTATTTAAAATCCATTTGTAGTTACCGGGTCTTCAGATATTTCTGTCACTGTGTGTACCTATTTACCCTAATTTCAGATGAAATGACCTAAAACAGTTAACCTTTCTTTTTAAGTGTTACCTAATTTATTTTCCCCAGGACTGATTTTTCTCTCTGATGACTCTATCCTGGATCAGAATTTATACTTAGTGTAAAGTGGCGTGCTGTGAATTTATAAAAAGTGCACAATGGTCAGAATAGGCAAAAAAATTTTATCTGTGAACTTCTGTTTTACTCTTTCATCCTCTAATAGGGTGGACTGTTTCGTTTTGACATTCTCATATTGGTTATAGGACTGTTCTTCTGAGAAAAGGGTTATTTTCTTTGGTCCGATAATATAATGATTTCTTCAAATTACCTCCTTCCTCTCTTTTCCTACAGATCTGCTGAGCCAGATGGAATTATGGCTGAGCTCTTCTCTGTCTCTTTATCTTGCACATATTCCGACTGATGAAGAAATCTGTTTATTATAGCTTGAATGTCATTGGCCTACCCTTTCCTCTGACCCAGGCGTGAGCAGTCATATGGGCATCTGGTCTACCTCAGAACACTCTGCAGGGACACAGCCTGGCGTATTATAAATTGTCTATTGGCATGCCCGTCTGCTTGACAGAATAGCAGAACCAGTTCTGGATACTTGCCTTGGTTGGCCACCATTTTTGCTCTCAGTGAGAGGTCAGGATGATGTTAGTTTGCAAATGTTTGAAGAAAAATTGCCATAACCAAGCCCAGAGATTTAGCGAAATTTAATGGGGATTTACAGGTGTTTTTGAATCTGACTTTTGTAGGACTTCACCTGGCTCAATGTTTCTATGCCTATTACAATGTAAACGTAAATCTAGCTTATACATATGATAATATTTTGAGCATTATAGTCTTTAATCGTGATTTCAAAAATCAAAGGTCAAGAGAGTTCCTTAGGACTCTAAATATTATACAAGTTTTTCCTTTCAAGAATTTGAACTTGAGAAATGCAGTAAAGGATCCGACTTTGCAAAGGTGAAGATAAATGTTAGTTCCTTGGCACATAAGCAACACTAGTTCCTTTCTGGCTTTGCAGGGTCAGAGCTCTGGGCTCCAGAGAAGTGAAACTGTGAGTGAGAGAGTAACTGCTGTGTTAGCAGGCTGTGCATCCAGAATTTAGCAAACCTAGCATTTTCTGTTGTACTAAAACCCATTAGGTATGTTTTAAAGTCATGTTTATTTTACTTTCCTGCTCTGTGTATCAGGAGTTGTAAATGACTGCAGAGGAAAGTATTTAACCTAGAATTCTCATATTTATCATCTTTTCCATTTGCTTTATTAGATAACTAATAATGTAACATACCGATGATTATTTTAAAAGTTATATTCCTTTTTGCCTTAATGATCCAACAGTTTATGCAATCATTTTGTATTGCTTTGTAACAAATTACCACAACTTATTGGTTAAAAATAATACTCATTTATTGTCTCAGAGTCCTGCATGATTGTGACTGGGTTCTCTGCTCAGGTTTTCACAAGGCTGAAATTGACACAGCATCTGGGCTGAGTCCTCTTCTGGAGGCTATGGGGAAGAATCTGCTTTCCAGCTTATTCAGGTGGTTGGCAGAATTCAGTTCCCTGAGGATTAAGATTCCCCATTTTCTTAATTACTGTTGGCTGGAAGTCACTCTCCGCTCCTAGAGATTGCTCTCAGGTCCTTGCCCCATGGTCCCCTCCATCTTCAGAGCTAACGATGAGAATCTTCTCTCATGTAGAGTCCTTCAGATGCCTCAGATCTCTCTGATACCTGTCTCTGATCCTCTAGACCCAGATTTAAAGGGCTCATGTGATTAGGTCAGTCTCACCTGTGTGATCTCCCTTTCTTAAAGCCAGTCATGGCATATGACATAGCCTAATCACAGAGTAAGAGCCATCATGTACAGTCTTGGAGATTAATCAGATCACATACACTAGGGCATGGGGGTCTTGGGGGCCGTCTTAGGGTTCTGCCTGTCATAGTTTATAGCAGGTTCACAGAATATCACTATGAAAAATCTACAGTAGATACATCTTTAATAGAGTCCTATTAGGAAGGAAAAGGAGATGGTTCACCTAGTTTCACATCTCAGAGGGTCATTTAATGATAGCTTCAACATGATAGGATATTATTTCCCGAGTCATCCTATGAGTTTATGAATGACAGGGTATTTTTAACCTATTTTGCTTTAAATCTGCCATAGAAGAGGCAACTCACCCTTCTGTAGCTCAAATATTCTATGGTATAATTAATAAATAATACTATTACAGAATAAATTAAGTCTTAGCTATAATTTTGATTGAAACTTAAGTGGGTTCTTGTTCTTCAATAATACTGCATAACCCACGTGGATTACCTAATTCACTTTCTCCACATCTGGAGTTTTGTGACTATTATTCTACTAAAGGGCTAAGCTTTGGAACAACAGAACATTCTGGGGCTTTTCACCAAACTAAATTATGCATAGTCCTGGGCTGTATTATCCAAGTATTAGAAAAGGAAATAATCACAATTAGTTCAAGGCCTTCATATATGTCTCAGAAGTCAGTTTTTCAGTTTGAATTTTTCCAAGTTTAATCAAATTTGGATGAAATCCGGGTATATTTTATTACTTTTAATTTTGTATCATTTAAAATAAAGCAATATCTGGGAAACTCAGAAGTAAAAAAGAGGAAAAAAAACATATATCATTTAAAACACAGAATTTCATGTTAGGTAAACATAATTATCAGCCAAATCCACCAACCAGGCAAGTAAATACCTGAACCCTGCTAGGCTCTGAGGATATAGCTATGTGTTATGAATATCTGAGGATATTCGTATGTTTTTTGAACAAAACAGACATAATCCCTTTTACAGAATATATGGTCTGACAAAGAAAGTATTAGGATAAATGCAACAATGTGTCTAAAATGCTTATTCCATTTTATACATATTTTCCCAACAATGTCGCCTAGTGTTGTGCGGATACTTAAAACATTGATTACTTTCTTCCTTACCTTTTCCCTGCCTGATCTTAATGCCATAAGATGTCTCATAACTATGTTTCTGACAAATGAATCTCAAAATCATCTTGTTGCTCATAGACTATTGTAGAAAATAGCAGCATGACAAATTAAATGTTATTGAGGAAGCGAGTTTATGTAATGAACTGAGTTTCCTGGTCAGTCCTGTTAGAACTGTGGGATTCAGCAAAATGAGTTTGGTGATTTCATTCCAAAGATCAAGTTGCAGCAATTTTCATCATGAATGTTACCCAGTCATTGAAAAACTGGCAACATTGACTCAACAGATGTTAAAGTCTTTCTTGAAGGAAGGTTCTCACAGCTGACAAGCTGACACTAGAGACTCTTGCTGAATGTAAGGGGAGAGACGGTGATGACATGATTAATAAAGAGCAATTCAGTCATATTTTCAGGTTCATAAAATGATTTGCAAGTATTTTCTCTTTTGTTCCTAATAACAGCACTGGTAGACAATGGGAACACCTTCATTTTGTCTGTAGATAGTTTTATGCTACTTTATATGGAATATTTATAGCATTTGTGAACTTAAAAACCAAAAATGAAGCAACTTGCATATTTAAATTTTGCCAATGGAATGACAGGGAACCAGAGAGGGCAGTTGGTGTATGGGGACATTTGAAGTAAAGTGTCCTAGAGTCGTAGCTTTTTCTGGGCCTTGACTTCGGCTCAGTCTTTGAATACCATTTAGCCATCCCGAAGTCTGTCTGGAAATTGAGATGCTGCTCACTTCTTCTCTGGTTGTTGTGAAGAAGTTTATTTGTGAAATACTGTGCATTCTATGAATGAACTATAAGAATGAAAGGAATAAGACTTATTGACTCTTGAAATGGTTTATTGGTATTCAAATTGGCTTTGTGTCTACCCAATATGAAAGTTATAATCCAGAGGAAATATAGAATACAAGATCTGTCTCTTCATCTTTCCACTCAAATAGACAGGATCACTTTAATTTCTTCCCATGAAAACACATCAAGAGGAACATCTATCACAGGTTTTTCATAATAAAACTTTTGCTAATTGACACAAGATAGTGATGGTCATTGATTTTTGTCCCCGTTGATTCCTGGGTAGCTTCTACTCAGCACATAACTCCCCAAACAGTCCTTAGGTGCCCATATTTTCCTCTTTTTCCCTTCCACTTTGGACTGAAAGTGTGTAGACACAAGGCAACAGATCTTTCAGCACATAAATGGTGCAGAGTGAGTCAGGTTCTTCTTAGGTGCCAACTATTCCCTGCTAAACAATCAGAGCTTTGTGAACGATAATTGAGTGAGGAGGCAAAGCACTCAGAGGAGCCGGGAACAAGTACAATTTTATGAGAAGGATTATGTAGCAAAACGAAGTCAAACTCCGCTGTGGTTTGTTTTTCTCTCCCTAGTATCCCCCTTCACTCAGCAGAAGAGACGGGGTTATCAGTCACCTTATGACTGGGCACATCTGTCCTAGGTCAAACATGCTGCAGTCTGCAAAGCCAGCAGCAGATTGCAGTCCTCTGCAGTCCAGCCAGACCAGCAAAACTCGTGTAGTCATGTGCCCTGTTATAGCTAGAATACCAAATTGGGGATGTTCCCTTAACATTTGAGGGCAGAAACAACGAAAGCTTTTCCTGTCTCAAAACAGATGGTTCTTTCCCAGTGTTGCCTTCAGAACATAGACCTGTTTGGGTGAAGGCGAAGTCAAAACTGTTCCTCACAGCATCATTAAATCTGGTTTTCCATGATATTTAACCTATGCAAGGAAAATTTAACTTTCTCCTGAAATGCTATATATATGGATATCAGAGTTGCACACGAAAAGGCACCTTCAGTACTTTTTTTAGATGGATGGACACAGTTAAGAAACAACTAATCAGTTAACATCACTGGGAGGTCATTGTTTGGCCATATTAACAAAAACTCCCTTTGTGATTTTGCAGCCACGACAGCCCAATCCTGACTGGCGTT